AGTTCTGAAAGGAAAGGTGCTAATCTGCGGTTCTCAGTAAGTATGGATTTCAGGAATGAGAATGAGGGATGAGTTCATTTTTAGGATAATTAATGATATTCTTGCCCAAGATAAATCTATTGCATTTATTAGAGCTAATCTGACGGCTGAAATGTCTCTCCAGTCTGCGGCTTGCCCTTGAAGACGTATTCAAAGTCTCTAAGAAGATGTGGGAAAAAAATGAGATGAGGGGTGGAGAAGGGAGGACAGTTAATGGGCAAAAAATATGACAAAAACTTCCTTCACTCGCACTATCCAGACGTTCGTTACCAGCACTGAATGCTAGTCTCAACAGCAATCATGAGTAGGGATGACTACCGATGACTGAGATAAGCTGCTCTACGACGCTAAGGACTAAAGCATCCAGAGCGTCTGGATGCATTCCGAACTTTATTAACAAAATACACCAGCAGTCTCCCAAATCTAGTCGCTTTTTTAAATCCTAGCAGAACAAAATTCAAAATTATGGGTCATTGCAGTTGAGAAATCGATGGTTGAATGCTGAATTTTTTCACTTTAAAATTTGCAGTCCTGAAGATACAGAACACAAGATTGTGAGGCTTACCTGAAATATTTTTGGAGCACTAACAAGACTTGCTAAAGCTGAACTGAGAGTTGCCGCGAAAATACCCGCTGTAATCAGTGGTCCGTATAAACTTTCAGTTTCCATTACCTGCAGTAAAGCGTTAGAGTGAATACCGCCAATAACAGTAACCGATGAGCACAGAATGGTCAAGCGGTTCTGAGATCGCGGATAACTGAGATATTTTTTTTAGTTCTGTAGGGAAAAAACTTCTTGTGAAATAAGCTTGACTTCTTGAGGGTCAACCCAACAAAGTTTTAATTGTTATGCTGAATATCACATGTCACTACATAAGAACTGCCTGGAAGATTTAAATCAGCACTCCCAATAACTACGAAAAGTTGCTAGTTTTGTGGATCACTTGGAGAACGAAAGATTTGAATAGGGAGTTCTGATCATGAGGCTGTACAGCAGAGAAAGCACAAGACCTGGGAAGCTCAAAGCAACTTCGAAAAGATTTCAGAAAATTTCAGCTTAATGGAGAAGGAGCCGGACTGGAAGAAAAGACACCAATAAATTTCTCAAATTTATTTCTTTTAACTTATAACACACGGTTACTCGAAATCCCTGTGCGAAATTACTGAAGTAACTGAGATGCTGACCTTATCTAAGCCCTATTGCCTTCCTTCTCACTGGAATCATGGCTGCCCAGCATAGCCCGGCAAATTAGACCGCGGCAAATCGCTCGCCGAAGTTAGCGTGTGTGAACAAATCGGCTTGCTTTAACTCCGCCACTGCCTTAGCTATTACTATTACGAGATTTGGCAAAAATCGTAGGAGTTGTACCTGGAAATAATTCATGAGCCCGTAAGGACATGTATTATTGTGTGCACAGTCAGGCACGAAATATGAGCTGTTAATGAGATACGGTTGTTGGAATCCATCCGCGTAGCGAACACACGTTGATCCGGTCGCAATTACAACCATTAAATAGATGACAGTGGTCACTGCAATCGCAAGTAGGGTTCCTTTTGGTATTGCTTTCTGAAAAAAAAATTTTCACTAGAGATAGCAAAATGAACGCACACATGGCTAAAAGGATAATCTAAAAAATTTCAGAATTAGAAATGTCAGCGAAATATGCGCTAGGTACTGCCACTTAGAGTGATACAGATGTGCTAAAGCGACAAACACCAAGGCGACTGTCCAGAGAATACCAAAAAAGTAGCTGCCCGGAATTTTTTATGGAATGAGTTGATAAATAGGTTTTAGGAATGATGAGTTTTTCTGGGACGCGGATAAATGCAGCACATCTTCCTTTACTGTTTAATTGTGCATTTCCATGATTCACATTGATATTGAAAGTGCTAATTAATACCTGTGGATCTGCCAAATCACCGCTGATATTTGCACCCGCCATGATACCCGTAGCAGCCGGAAAATAAACGGCAAATACCGAAAAAAAACTTTCACCTCCTTGAAAATTCGGCAATAGGTTATCGGTCATTGTTATAACTGCAAAACAAACGGTTCACAGTCAAAAGCTGAATAACAAGTGGCATGATGCACCAGGGAGGCAGCGCTTTTTGCGACTAGCTGTGCGCGCTTGCGGTAGGTGTGTATGGCAAAACACAGAGTCATATTCATTTTTGCCATTGATACAGCTGGCGACTTCTCCATTCTTCTCCAATTTGCACTTCTACTATCTACGCAGCTGCACGTGACCGTTCAAGCGGGTTCTTCTGCTGCACTGTGTTCTTCATTGTATTCTTTTAGTAGAAGTTTTTTTTTCTTCGGAGTTACGGTGGTTTTTTGATCTTTTCAAAGAATGAAAATGCGCAGCCCAGCCTAGTCACAAGTAAAGGTTTCATTGAGACGGAAGGATCCATGTGCCTATAAAAAGATACGTGGATGCAGTATGCCAAAAATACAGGAAAATGGAGAAACTGTCAGATTCACGATGATGAGAAGCAACGCGGCAAAGAAACAACATCTCAAGTCGATATGCTACGCAACCTGGCATTTCTGATTTTAGTTTTTCGTTTCTGAACGCGGTTTAAGTCTCTGTAATTTTATGTTGCGTATTTAGTGAAATCTGGTAGTACAAACAGCTCGAGTCAATAACTTCACTTAATCTATCGCACTTTTTTATACCATTAAGACGATTCGGATTTTTTCGAGTGCCGAAGAGTGAAAAACGACTGAATGTTTTCGTAAAAGTCATTGAAATAGCTCAGGCATACTGAATAAAGGAACTTACAGCTGTAACCAGTTATACCGCGATATTTTTGGCTGTCAGAAATGGGGACGAACGTTCCGATAAAATAATCAATTATGGAAAGTGTTAAGATGACGAGTAGACCAATTTGCATTTTGCTTTCGAAACTTGTCCCGACGAACACAATTGCCATTAACACACAGCAAGTCGCTGCAAAATCACTCATTTTTCTGGATATCAAGCATAGCGTTCGTACGAACAAACATATGAACAATCAGTACCAGTGCCAATGCTAGAAAAATCAAGAATCTTTAGGGTCAGTTTGTGATGTACAGTCATCTAAAGCAAAAATTTTCGCCAACAAAAACTAAAATGCATCTTAACCCAGAATACCAGTAGACTTTTAAAAAAAGAGTTATAGTAAACATCATCATATTTCATTTCAATGAACCCTGCTGAATCAAGATGAGGAAGGTTTCGTACGGCTACCACAAAACTCACTAAGCTAAGAATAAAACTGCAACTCATTTCGCTTTTCGTCATCATCTTAGAGTTGCTAAAATGGGTGGAACAACATCCACTTGTTACTAGCATAATTGTTGCCGCAAATGATTTATGCGAGGAACAGGAATGTAAATGAAAGTCCAAAATAAGTTTGTCCCGGTTTGCGACTTACCTAGACCGACCACTCGTACATCATTCATACCACCATCGATGAGGGCAAAATTATTCTCCTTCAACAAATCGCGCACTGTTTCCGCGAATCCCACCACATACATTGCCGCACCGACTGCATTCGCTACGGAAAATATCAGACCAATGGAGCCACCAAATTCTGGACCGAGTGAACGGCTGATCTGGAAATGGCCCATAAACCTTTCTGTGCCGAGAATGTGCCGAGACCACTTTGTCAGGTGAGATTTAGCCAAATGTGCGCTCAGTTAAGCTCCAGAAGCGAGAAGAGCGGCAAGAACTTGGTACATCAAAAAGCAGACCTAGTAGAAAGCGTACCGGCTGCCGGTACGAGGATGCGTTTTTTGCGCAGTTCCCCTTGCAGGT